ACTAAAATTAGCCCAACTAATTTGAAATACCATACCTAAAACAATAAACCTTCAAAAACCTAGTTATTGATCAAAGCGTACTTCAATGATTCTGAACTAAATGTATTTTTTATTACTTTTACATTATGAGTTAGTTGTATAAAAATTACATATTCCGACAATTTAAAAACTAGTAGTAGTAACGATGTAACTCACGTCGTTCAGTTGTGATCCTGATAAGAGTTTCCGTCTGAGTAAACTGTTCCGCAGAGAAAGCGAGGAACAAATTGTTTCTAGTTGTGGTAACACTCTGGGGTCGGCTAGAGTTGCGGAACTTTACAGATCCCAGCAGTCGACTTGAGGCTGTCCGTCCATCAAACATCAGGAGTGAGGTGCTGTCGTTGCGATCTGTCACTGTGTAGAGGAACTGTATGGTCAGCACTTGGTCACTAGTGGTGGAAAATGTCTGGAAACAAAAGTATGAGTTAGGCTATTTTTGTTTATGAAAAAGTACTGGTCCAGGATTGTGATTTTGAGGATAAAGGGATTGTAGCTAACTTAGAAAAGATTTGAGGTAGCCTATGGTATATCTAGAAAACACATAATATTTATTTCCCTGGAGGATGTTAAGTGTAAATAATAAAGAGATTTTCTGTTCAACTATCTTTTTCCACACTTGAAAAAGTCAGGAGACAAACTATTGTGTTTACTACAGGGTTGCCACCCTAGGTTAGGGAAAAATCGGGAAATGGCCCCCCTCCCGCCGGATTAACATAGGCTTAAATACGGGCATATAGGAACCAAAATCGAGAATGTCCCGACAGAATCGGGACGGGTGGCAACCCTGGTTTACTGTGTCTTCAATTATCAATTATCAATTATCAATCATTAAGATGGGCACGCCACTTAGGTGCGTATTTTAACCCAAATATGAGTGAAGGATGAGTGTAGAATGGTGTGAGATGATCTGTGTAGCTTTGTTACTGACTTCTGAGTGTACTATGGTTTGCCAGGACTTTTTTTAAGGTAAGCTAGCTTACTATCTCTTTTGTTCTTGAACAAGAGAATGTTTCAAGAAACTATTATCATTACAGTTATATTGAGACAGAGATACAAACCTGTGTATTTTAACCTCAAAATGAGTGAAGGAAAGCTGTAGAATGGAGTGAGATGCCTTGTGTGGCTTTGTTTCTATAATTTGCCAGAAAGAACCATCGATCAATAAACACCCTCACCTGTTCCTACAATCAGGCAGGACTATTTTAAACCCAATGACCAAGAACAGCTGCGGATCTACTGCTTTCAAACTATCAAAGACCTCTTGATTTTTCTTCCCAGTAAATATGTGGAATTTTCTGTAGAAGAGCTGAGCGAGGACTAGAGTTTTTCATTGAACCACTTTAATACTTCAACAATATGAATACTAAAACAAATAACAACAGTTTGGCATTTGACTGTTATAATAATCTACAACTAAACCAGCTATCTAGACTGATTACAAACCTTATGACAATCCCTGGCTGACCCGTAGAGGCTCTGAGCTAATGAGATGGTCACTGGGAAGATCATGTGTAGAGTGGAGGGGAATGTACAGATGTCTTGTATACCATCTCTCAAGAAATGTGTCTGGTCGTGGTGAACATACCTGCAAGAAAATACTGTGAATAAAAAGTCTACAACAACTATTTCTATTCAAATTAAATAAATTTACAATTTAGTAGTCTGATGTGACATTATCAAATATTAAGGTAGGCACAGATATTCAATACATGATTGAAATTATTTACAAGTCTGCTTACATCAACAATTTATCACATAAAATAATTATAGTGGCATTACCTTATACCATCAGCTCCGTTGCTAGAGACTGTTGTACCACTGAGTTGGACTCCCCCTGTAGAACTGTTGATGTAAACTCCATAACCTGTGCACATTAGTGGTAAATTAGTATCACAACTACAACACAAGTAGACTAAAACTAAGATAAATTAGTATCACAAGTAGACTAAAACTAAGATGTATTTCTAAATAGTATCTTTAGCGAATTTCCATGTGGCAGACTCACAGCTTTGCCACTGAGGATGCCACATGATAGAATGGGCAAAACATCTGGTTTTGTAGATGAGTGTAAATACCGATTTGATAAGACGAGGACTTTAGTGATTTAGATCAGATAGAGAAAGTTGGAGAGGTATAATTGTTAATAGCTGTAGAGCAAAACGGGGAGGGGTGGGTTTTAGAATAAAAATATCAGAAGATTTGATGAAGGCTAAGATGGTTTTGTTCATGTGAAACAAATGCAAGAAGATACATTTTCTAATGGAGTTGATAATGATGTAAGAACAAGAAAGAAAACTAGAAGAAGGTGGAGAGGGATGTGGAAAAAAGTGGAATGAGATGGCAGATGACCAAGGTAAAGGAACTGTGGAAGGGGAGAAAAAGTTTTCTCCCCAATATATTTCATTTAGGCATGGTCGACACTCAAACCTGGGAATTAAAGAGGATATATATATTTGAGGATGTGTACAAATTTCCCTGTCATTACAAACCTCTGTTGTTGATGATGGTGCAGTTGTGTACAGTGAAGGGAGCCTGTGGGTTGGTGAAGTTGACTCCATTATACGCAGAGTGAGCCACTGTCACGGACACCAGTCTGGGAGGAATACCTTCAACCTCCAGAGCTGAACTGGCGTTGTAGTCCCTACCTGACCCTGCAAACCTGGGGAAACACAAACGCTTATATAACTCAACTAGCTGGCCCGACAGACGTCGTCCTGTCCTAATGTGGTTTTATGTCAAATGCTCGTTCATTTTCAAGATGAGCACGTTCGCATGGCTCAATCACGTCTTGGTTGAAGTTCGTTCGCTACGCTCACTCATCTTTAGGTTGGAGCTCGTTCGCTGCGCTCACTTGCCTTCAGGTTAGCTCGTTCGCTACGCTAACTCACCTCCAGGTTGAAGTTTGTTCGCTACGTTCACTCACATTTTGGTTGCTAACTAGCTGTTGCTAAAAAATAATAGTACTGCACCCTGTTGGTAAACCTATTAACTTTTTAATGATATTGAACATCACAGAATCAAATTGTTTAGTTGAACCAGCTGTTAAAGATTCTTTAATTCCATTTAACTATGAGTACTCATAAGGTTAACATGGGAAACTACAGAGCCACTGGGGCGGAGCCCTTTTGACGGATCTGCACCAAACTTCACACAAACCATCCTTGAATAATGCTTAATAATGCCTGAAAGTTTCATTACAATCTGTCGAGCGGTTTCGGAGTCCATAATGGACAAACATCCAAACAAACATACATTGGATTTTATATAGGTACTAGCTGACCCGGCGAACTTCGTATTGCCTAAGTTATAGGTTTCCCCTAAGACAGACCGATGGAAAGAAAGTACCGTTACGTTTAATTTTCAAGATGATCTCGTTCGCATCGCTCAATCACGTCCTGGTTGAAGTTCGTTCGCTACGCTCACTCACCTTTGGGTTGGAGCTCGTTCGCTACGCTCACTCACCTTTAGGTTGGAGCTCGTTCGCTGCGCTCACTTGCCTTCAGGTTAGCTCGTTCGCTACGCTAACTCGCCTCCAGGTTGAAGTTCGTTCGCTACGCTCACTCACCTTTTGGTTGCAAATTAGCTGTTGTCATAAATGTAAAAGAAATAATAGTGCTGCACCCTGTTGGTAATCCTTGTAACTTTAATGCTATTGAACATCATAGAACAGAACCAACTTGTTTAATTGAAACAGCTGTTAAGATTCATTAATTCCATTTCTCATAAGGTTAACATGGGAAACTCCAGAGCCACTGGGGCGGAGCCCTTTTAAGAATTTCGAAACGGGAAATAGTTTACGTCCGATTCGCATACCTACAGAATTTACACACCAAATTTCATAACGATCGGTGAAGTCGTTCCGGAGGAGTTTGCAGACAAACACTGTGACACGAGAATTTTATATATTAGATATAGATAAAACAAAACAACTATAATTTAGCACAACTGATATCCATACATTTATCAACTGTTTACAAACAAATGAGGTGATTTTTACTTTGTCATACATTATCATTATCGTTAATTTTTTTAGACAGCCTCGCACAAGGTGCACAATAACAATGAATATAAACGCAAGATGAGTGTATAATGTTGAGTATGATAAGCTATATCTTTGTTTTTAAGATCAGCTGTTTCTTTAGCTACCCCAATTTAAAAACTCAATGATCAAGGATCTGTAGGTTTTTAAACCAACAAAAACTAGACTTTTCTCAGGATCTATGTTGTGTGTGCAGCACACCGTTAGCTTTTGTTTTCATTTTTAAGAAAACAGTAAAAAACCCTGGGGTTGTTACCATTCAACTTCAACAGGTTGTTGGACTACATCCTAAAGCCCAATTACAAATTTGGGACCATAATCGACCCCGTTCAAGTATATTGTGATGAAAGCACTAATTCACAATTGCCTTGCATTCGGTTAAAACGTTTTCTTTCAAATGTTTGATTCTATTTTTGATTATTATTTTCTAATGATATTTTAGTCAACTTGTTTTTAGACAACTCACATATTAGCATATAACATAGGAAAGCATTTCAAAATTAATTATTTGTACTACATGGAATAGGTTAATGATTCTCCCAATCTGCAGTTCACTGTGTTGCATGTTAGAGAAACTAAACATGCAATCTATTTTTGTTATCAGCTGTATTATTCAATGTAAAAATAACTGAGTTGACAACTTCTATCAGTGCCGATGGTGTTGTTAGAACTTTAGCCTATATGGCAGTCTTTTATATATATAGCCTACAATTTAAATAAGTCCAACTGATTCACAGTAATTAATAGATCCATCTTAGTAGTTCATATATCTTAAAATAATGAGGAGTTTCAGTCTTTCATTTCAAACACAGAATCTTAATCTTTAATAGTCAAAGTCTGTACTTTCTTCAACACCTTTAGGTCATCATTTCAAAGGTTTTACTTCAAAATATACGTTCTCTAGAGAACTCTATACTCACCGTATAAAACTGGGAGCAATAAGAGTTTACTTACCTATGTTCGGAGACATTTATTTATTTTAGGTCACTTTGAACAACAGATTGATCAAATAGAAACACAGGTAACTAATTTGTTAATTTCAAGAACAAGAGCCCAATTCATTATCAAGTTTTTTTTATTTTTATTTATTATCTGTGGGCGACAAGGTTCTTAAAAGTGTCAGCTACATTTTGGGGTTGCTGCAATCTCCTTCCCTATCTCCAGTGACCATTTTTTATAGTTAAATAGTTTCATGTGGGTCATATATCAAAAGAAAACACACTATATTTAACTGCTCAATCTACAAAAGCATAAAACCACCCTCAGCTTTGACAGGTAGTTTTTGCTGACCTGATATCTACGAAGGCCAGCTCTGACTGTGACACAGGGAGTCTCAGAGTGTTAAAGTTGACCAGATTCTCGTCATGTTGAGCGTACTGGAACTTCAATCCTCGCCAGTGATGTACGACAGAAGATGAGGTCTCGTGGTAAGGCAGGCACTGCAGGCCTAGGTCTGGATGGAAGTCTGGAAAGAAATAAAGAGTTACGTAGAAGCTTTGGGATTCCTCCTATTTATTACAGCCATGGAAAATAAATTCAGTGTAATGTCACTGATAAATGTAATGTACATATATACATATAAATTATTTATGCTATCGTTTTGTGTCAAACGATCCCTGTTGTAGTTCCTATCAACTACAGCCAATGGGGCACATCTTCAGGTTGTCAGAGCGTTAAAATAAAAAGCACTTTCACCCAAGTATGAATTTGTCAAGATATATAATGTCTATTATACACGAAATACACAAAGAACAACATTTTAACGACACGACTTTACATACTTGGCCAAAAGTGAGGAACACACGAGGTAGTAGTTGCCTCATGACCTAGTCATGTAGAGTAATGATGTCCTACAGTCCTCACTCGAATATTAAAATTAAATTCATAAGGGCATATTTTAGGTTTTTTGCAGTTAAAAAACTCACGTCTCATGAATAGTTTCAAGGTTTTCACAGTTGAATGGGCGCAATGTAAAATATATTATTCTGACGCAAAATATGGAGTACAAACTCACCACAGACTCCAGAACCAAGTTGTCGACTGTTCCAATCACACTCTTGCAGCGTGGCCTCGTTGCCCCGACAAGACGGGGCTTCCAGCAGCAAGCGGGGGCGAGACACACCCCACTGTCGGTCATACCAGCCTCCCCAGGCCCCGCCTTGCCAGCCAAGCTGTCTACACGCCACCTCCATGTCTGCTCTGGTCCAACTGGGGAGAACATCATTGGAATGTTTGATTACTTGGTTGTTGGAAGTTCAAAGTTTTGCATATCTAGTCATGTACCTAGTTGTTTTAAATGTGCAAACTTAAACAGGTGGATAATCTGTTTGTCATTATTTTAAACATCTTTTGATGCAAAAAATGGAAAGCACACGTTTAGTCAAAGCTATTAGTTTGTTATTTTGTTGTTTGGTTGTTTTTATCTGATAGATTTGTTCATTGGAGGGCTATACAAGGCAATAAAAGATGTTTTGTATGTCAGAATTGGCTTTAACTATTTAATTATTTTAGCTATCAGGATTGAGTACAATGAATGTAATCACAGTCGAAATTGTCTAACTCTTTAATCTGTGATAATATAGGCCTATAGTTTACGTTCCTAAACTGTTGTCAAACCACTATCCAGCAACAGATTATTAGTTTTGGCATCTAACCATTTTCTAATCTCTTAAGATTTTTAAATTGTCAAAACGCAAAACCCCATTTCATAACGACAAATTTCAAAATACACTAACAAATAGACAAAAACATTAAATAAAAATTACCGTTGTGATTAATATACTAGGCTAACCGATACATTTAAAAACAAATATTTGTATCCTTATATTAAGTATTTCAATGTTTTTTTTAAATTTCTTGTGAGGTTTTGAAATGGAGTGAATGATGGTGGAATGATGCTCCATAACTCACTATGGTCATCTAATGAAAAATGACAACAACAGCTACTTAACCTGAATAACACAACAAGTGTTTGTTTTTAACATTACAACAATTGATTATTACTCACTTTCTACTGTTGGAACACACATCCCGCCATGCTCCATTGTGAAGAATCTGTAGGCGGCCGGAGAGAGGTGACGGTCCGTCTACTAGTCGCAGCTGAGGCAGCGATGGACTCCGCTCTGGCTCGGACAGACTGCTGAACACAATCCGCTGATCCGGCAGACCCTAGACATACCAATAGGTTAGCCACTTGGTTAAAGGTTTGATGTTGAACATGAATAATACAATATTACATTGTATATTTGGGACCAATCTTTTAAAGTCACTACAGTTCTGGATAAATATCGATTCTCAATTCTTGGATCTAGTACTTTTCCTAAAAAATACCTACAGGATCGACACATCACTTACGACCCTAGACGTTGCAGCAATGTCTCAAACCTGTAGAATGAGTTGAGTAGGATGCATGTAAAGGTGAAGAGAAGAACATGCAATAACAAAGAGTGAGTACCCAGAGAAGAAGAACACTTGGATCAAAAGACTGAAATTAAAGGACCAAGTTGATTTAACACAGAAGAATTAAAACAGAATATTGGAGAGGCACCAAAAACTGAATGGGACCAAAAATTTACTGAGGACGTAAGGCATTATTAGTGTCTTGGACTTCATTGATGGACTGATCCGTGCATATCACAAACATTCAAGGGTTTTAGACTGTTTTCCCTTAAATTTGTTTGCATTCCTATCTTTAAAGAAAAATTACACAACAGTTTTTTTTAGAGTAACCTGTGTTGGGTTCTCAGTCCTTCTCAGGAGTGCGCCAACAATCAATTCTCGGAATTAAGATCTACATCCATAACCACTCGGCCACCAAGTCAGTTAAGTTACCCAGCAAGAATACACAGCACAAATTTGGGTGAGAAAAATTATAAATAACGCTCAGGTTCACACATAATTTTTACAACTGTAATTAGTGGCAGATACATATCAAACAATGGAGAAACCAACTTGCATCTTCACAGTAAAGGAATAAATTCTAAACATCAATTTTCAAAAAGTTTCTAAAATGCTAAACATGAAGATGTTGATAGAAGAATCGCTGACAGAAAACAACTATTCGATCAGATCAATGTGAACTATGATATGGACTAATGAGAACAACAATGAACTTGGAACTGGTAAACCTGACATAGCAACAATAACAATAACAATGGTGGGAATGAGCACAATTGGAAGGTGGGTGTTTGTGGCACGTGGCAGCATCAAACTACTGCTGTTCTACTAATAGTGCCATGTACCATTGACTTTGGAAACTGCAAATAAGTACTATGTAGACGTATTGTTCTATTGAACAATTTGGAGCCTTTTTCAATGTGTGTTTCTGCTCAGTTTTATTTGAGTGTGCATCCATACAGATTTATCTTTTTATAGATCAGCCGATGGCAATTTCAACTGCTGTATGATCCTGTTTGGTTAGAGGGTTTTTTGTGGTTTACTGTTTATACCTACTATTTACCAATTTATAAACCATTTTGAAACCATTAGTTGTTTTATTCTATTATAACTAAAGAATACTTTCTCTAATAATAGGCTACTTTTTTATATTAAATGGCGAACATACAAAAGTAGATATTTTAAGCCAAGTATGAATGGAGATGAGTGTAAGATGAGTGGTGTGATCTTGTAGTCTTGTTATGACTAAGGCCCACATTCCTTAGACAAGCTGTTAATTAATAGCCCATACTGCCAATGGCAACTAAAGGACCTACAGTTTATAGTGGAATCCGAACCACATTTTTGCCTTGGTATATATACGAATTGGTCTAATTATCAGGATAGTACTGCGGATAGTCGTAGTAATCACTCATGCGGACATTAATCCACACCAGGGAGTATCGCATCCACAGCGCCTATGGATATCCACAATTCGTGACCTCTTAGTAGCTGGATTACAGGACGACGCCACCCGTCCCAGTGATAAAGTAAGTGTAATAAAGCAAGTGCGGTAAAAACCATCCAAAATAAGAAAGAAACATTTAGTCAACTCACTCAATTGTTCTCACCAATAAGAAACACACCAAAACATGGCTTCAGATTATAATAATAGGGTGATACGTCTCCTAATGGTATTGAAAGTCAATTACTTCTCATTCTAATGTAAAATCTCAAACATATTGTTTTGATGTTTGTTTCTATTTACATTTAAGCATAGATAAAACATTCTATAAGTTTGAGGGTAAAAGATTTGTTATGGTTAAAACAATTCAAGCCTGACTTGAATAATTGGATTTTAATAGTTTTTTTAAGGAACAGATGATTTTTGTCAGAGCTACACATTTCACTCCATTCAACATCATATCTGAAGTGAGTTCATATGCAACTTAAAACATCCCCACAAAGTTGACTGGGGTGTGACTGAAAAAGGTGACTGAATAAAGTGTGTGATTTTCCTTCCACCATCGTGTGAGTGAGTGAGTGTACTGGCTGGATATATTTTCTTATTATATTATCAATTTTACAGAATTTGCTGTAGGCCTATATTTTATTTTATTAAATCTATGATTATATTTTTATACTATTGAAATACAATAAGCACCTCATGCTTCCAATTGTGAACTGATATTTAATATTCAAACGAAGAATATATTAACTGCTTAGTACTGCACAAGTGAAGTCGGTCTGTTTCATTAAGTTGATTGCCAATTCATCAGACAGGAGAATTAGATGAGAAGACAGGCAAGGTTAATCTAATGATCCCAGGGAACCAAGCTTTTGTTCAGTGTCTAAAAAGAATAATAGGCAAGAGCGATTTTCTTATACCAAGACACTGGTATTAATTTTCGACTTAGATTTCCTTTTATTTGGATGTATAAAATGCAATATTTAAAATCTCTTCTTTGATTTGAATTTATATGTACACAGTGTTCTTTTTTCTAACTGACAGCTGCATAAAATACTTGGAAATAATTTATTAATATTTCTAAATTATAATTCATGGTATTTGCTTTTTAAAAGTAGACCTACTAGAGGTCGTCAAGTGGTCGAAAACTCAACCAAAAATCTGTAATGTACAGACTTCTCTATTTTCACCCCATCGCTGTAAAATATGTGATTAGAACCGAATTTCTTCCATTTGTTTTTATTTTCTGTTTATATTTCGTTGTTATTTTGTCACCTGCATGGCAACCCATATTAAGGCCCATGTTAATTTAAGTTTTAAATTCATTTTTTGTGCTAATTTTTGAGCCTATTTTAATAAAGGGATTCTACACATCTACAGGAAAATATCTTTCCAACACAGTATGCATAGATTTTCCCTGCGATTTGTGCATCGCAGGGAGCTGAGAAAAAAGGTTTCATGCTTGCCAATAGATAGTATAGACCTATAGATATATTTAAAATAGTTTTGAACAAAAATCATAATTCCACCTTAGGTAAAACAAACAAAAAAAGCTAAATTTTCATAATCAAAATATGTTATGAGGAAGTATACCTACCATCCTGAACCGATTTTGTTTTAAACTGAACAATTGCAATACTAATGTAGCCTATTCTACAATACTTGTACTGTATTATATTTCACTTAGGTTTATCAATGACACAGATCTCCTATATGGATTTGAACAAAAAAAGAATACTATGAAGTGTACTTTAACACCATCATTGTCATTATTAATGTTTGGCTTTAAGTGTTTAAGTACAAAGGGTTTTCCAATACATAAAATATTCTTGCCTGAAAAAACCTATGTTTTTTTAAGACAGTTGAACTCAAAATGAGTCATAGGATTGCCACATAGCTAAAATCCATTGACGATTGGCTGGATTCAAACCCAAATCCCCAGGACATAAGTCCTGCCCTACCCAATTGACTACCCCACCAATCTCATTTACAAACACACTCTCAACTGCAATTCCTATCTTTGGAATGTGACCTTGAGTTTCAAAGCTATTTTACATACTCAGTTAACAAGTGAGCCAGTGAGTCATTCATTGACAAAGTGTCATGTAGCCTCAGTGTAACATGAAACTGTGACTCTCACCTACTTATTTTGCTGATATAGCTTTCTGCGGAAAGCACTTGAGTCATTCTTGTAACCTAGACCTACAGACCTATTAAGTTGGTTGACCTAGTCTGCCGTGTCAAGTAAGCTAACTTGTGTCAAAGAGAATTTATATTTCTAGTGGTGGTAAATATTTATTTATTAGAAAACGCAAAACTAGTTTGGCAATTAGGCAAGGAATATAAAAATAATAAAATGCAACAACAAAGGATTTTAGACAACTTACATGATTTGCTTTAAGGAAATAGGAAACTCAGGACAGGATATATGGAATCTATCATCAATAGGTCCTCCTTGTAAAATAATGTACACTATAAAAAGCTTATAATTCTTTTCATAATTTACATTTGTAAATTTAATAGTTTTTATTTCAAAATCTCTAAAAATAAAATATCCTTTTGAAAGTAGCAGTAGCATAAAGATTAACCGACAGAATAATTAATACATCTATGGCAGTATTAAGAAATTGTTAAGTTTTATTTTTACAGTGGGTCAAAGTTGGGCTACCAAATTAAATTATGAATCTACATTGAATGGAATCGTCATTGTGTAAAATATGTCTCCTATTATGTATAATTTGCATTTAGCAAGTAACAATGAAGGCGGGATATTTGGGAGGCTGTGACAATGTCGTTTGTTTCCGGCAGTTTCCGGTGTCCGCTGTCCAGCTAACCGGAAGTAGAGTGCGCTGCGAGGGGGAGACAAAGTATAAAATGTCATCTCGTTTTACATTATGGAGTTGGAAACTCTTCACTAAATACTATAATGAAATTTTAATCTATGGATAGTTTAATATTTATTTAGATTGCGGGAAGCAATATGGAAAAATTATATTGATTGCATCAACAATGTTACCAATATTAAAAGCTTCCTGATGACAAATATGAAGCTGAGGCCGAGTTTACATTATGTACCACCTTTTTCCGTTCAAGGCTCATGAACAGTCGGTTCACAAAATTTAGGTGGTTTTAGAGAAATAAATCTATCCCCTATCCTTGAACCTACCCTTAAAAATAGCTTAAAAGCTGAGGTTTGCCTAAACGTCAATCAGCTACAACAAATAAGTAGGAAGGGAACTTCCCCTCAAACCGCCAAAATTTAGTGAACGTCCAAACGGTCCTGGCTGATGAAAAAGCCTATCTTAGTGACAAAATTATACACAAT